CTAACATGATTTAGGCAGAGTAAATATTCTGTCCGACAGCTCTAAGCGTTTATCATTATTGAGTGAGCATAGGTTGTTTGCATAGTGGCGTAGATAACTAAGTGAAGTGGTGGAAGCATTAGTCTAGAGTGGTTTTATTTTTGCTTTAGTTATTGGTCTAGAAAATCTAGTTAGTAGTGGAGATTTCTGAGATAAGAGCGGTTGTGCAACTAGCGTAGTCAGCCAGGGCTCTGGCTAGGGATGCAAATACGTAGCACTGATTGGCCGATGCAACATTCAATTTGCCGATGCAACACACAAAATTCGATAAGATTGATGCAACTGATGCAATTTCTAGTAAAAATTATCAAACTTTTATTTTAAATTTTTTATTTTTTTATTTTTTTTATTTTGCCGTTTAATATTACAATAACTAAATATATTTTACAATTTTTACATTAGTAACGACAGGACTTCTAGAAGATCACGAAGACCTTATCATGAAGCCCTTTTCAATATATGGCTAATTTTTCTAATAAAAATACATTGTCTGTCGTGAACTAATAATAATACACCTTTATGCAAAAATATTTAAAAACCAAGATAAAATGTTAAAAAGCCAAGATAAAATGTTAAACTAAATAATATACAAAATAAACAAATACAACAACAAAAAAGGGAGTTAAAAATAAATCAAGACATTTTCAATTAAAAATATAATTCTTTTAAGTTTCTGTTTGAATGAAGCAAAAGTCAGTTGGATGGAAAAAACAAAGTTTGGTTAGACTATTTTGTTCCAGAGATAAGGACCTCGATAAGTAACAAAAAACTGGTCTTTGCTTTTACGACAAAAAAAGGCAATAAGATTGTTATTAATTGTTATTAATTCGAAGATTATATTTGTTTTTAGGTTTCATACAATAAAGATTTTGTAATACATTTGGCGACAAATTTTCTCTATATCTAAACATGAAACATAAAATATTAAAGACATTTAGTTGATATACATTTAAAATATTTATTTCTTTAAAAAGTTGTTTCGTTTAAAAAAACCGATTTTTAAAATTTATTGCGCGAGTTGCGTGTTTCTGATGAAGGTAAAAAGATTTTAGCTTTGTTCTGTGAGTGCTTTCTCAAATAATATTGGCGTAGTTTATATGACAATGTATAAATGAATAATATAATTGTGTTAACTGGTGTTTACCTAATATATTTCTTGCTTTATAGAAAATTCCGATGCATTTAGCAATTTTATTGGAGGTATTAGCAATATGATTTCTCCAAGATAGATTTTCATCAATATATACTTCCAGAAATTTAGTAACTTTTTCTCTTTTTATTATTATATTATCAATTAAAAGGTCTGGCATGATATGGGGCAGTTTCTGGTTTTTTAAAGGTGGATCAAAAAGTGTTCATTTAGTTTTTTCTATATTTAGAGATAAACTATTTTGTTTAAACCAAACAGAAACATTTTTTAATTCATTTGCCATATTAGTAAAAAGCATATTAATATCTTTATGAGACAAAAACAAATTTGTGTCATCTGCAAAATTTATTGTTGTTAAATTTGATGATTTATGAATATCATTTATGTATATTAAAAAAATAAGAGGACCAAGTATGGAACCTTGTGGAACACCACATGTTATATTCATTAATAGAAATAAATAAATAAATCTTTATTGTAAACAAACTGTTTACGGTTAGTAAGATAACGTTCAAACCATAATAAGGTTTCATCTTTAATACCATATGACATTAGTTTTTTTAACAGTTTTTGATAACTAATGGTATCAAATGCCTTCAGCAAATCAATAAATACTCCTAGTGTAAAACAAGAGTCTTTACATGAGTCAGTTATTTTGCGCGTAAGTTGAAGAATAGCATACTCGGTTGAAAAAGTTTTTTTGAAATCAAATTGGTTTTCGTATAGAATTTTATTTTCAAAAAGATAAGTGTAGATTTGGTTGTACATTATTCTTTGTAGAATTTTTGAAAAAACTGGAAGAACTGAAATAGGGCGATAATTTGTTATATTTGTACGATTCCCTGTCTTGAAGATTGGAGTTACTTTCGCTATTTTTAGTTTATCTGGAAAAGACCTTTGTGCAATGTATGCTCTGAAGTTTTTATAAAAAACATCTTTTATAACATCGTAGGAATCAATCACAATATTTGTGATTGATTCCTACGATATTTCTTAAAAGCAACCTCAAATTCATTTATTCATTCAAGTAAACTCAGTAAAATTTAGGTTAGAGCTTTTTGATGTTTCGAACTCATCAACAGATTTATCTTTAATGAATGAAATACTATCGCTTAATTTTGTCCCGATAGTGAAAATAGATAGATAGATAGAGAAAAACTTGTTAAATTCAAATGCAATATTATTTGAGTCATTTATTAACAGGTTGTCAATTTTTTATTTGGTTCAAGTTTTCCAGACACCTCCTTCGTGATTTGCCAGAGTTGTGCTTATATTTATTAAGTAAGTTTGAATATTAGTTTTTTTTTTTTGCATTTTTGCGAAACTTTTCAAATAAATTTTTATTCCTCTTTCGAAAAACAGTTGCTATATAACAAATAGGCCCAACAAAAATAGTAAGTGAAGACCCTACTGCAAATTACGCGGCTAAAATTCGTAGATATCTTTCAAAACTAAATAAAAGAAACTGTTTTTCGAAAGAGGAATACGAAAAAATATATCCTAGTGATCCCATCCCGCCTCGTATGTATGGTGTAATCAAAGCCCACAAACCTGAAAAATTCTATCCTATGAGAATAATTATCTCCACAATCGGCACAGTAAACTACGGAATATCTGAGTTCTTAGTTAAGATAATACAACCAGTTTTGAATGAAAACTTGACAAGATTAAAAAATTCCTTTGACTTTATTAAAAAAGCTGAATCTTGGAAAATTGACAATGATGAAGTTCAGGTATCTTTTGATGTCGTAAATCTGTATCCGTCGGTTCCTTTAAAAGAAGCCACCCTTGTACTTATAGAAAAATTAAATAATAATACAACATATAAAAAATTAACCAGACTAAGTATACCTGAAATAAAACAACTTATAGAACTTTGTTTATTTCAATGTTATTTTCATTGGAACAATGAAATTCATATAATGGAAAACTCGGGTCCAATTGGACTTTCGTTCATGGTCGTTCTTGCAGAATCATTTCTACAATTCCATGAAAACAATGCAATTAAAATTGCACTAAATTTCAACCCTGCACTTAACCTCAAATCGTTCGTAAGATATGTCGATGATAGTCACGCAAGGTTTCCAGATCTCTGCCAAGCAAAACATTTCCAATACATTTTAAATCAACAACATCCTTCCGTCCAGTATACAATTGAAGTTGAAAACGAGTTAGGAACACTAAATTATCTGGATATACAAATTATGAATAAAAAAACAGGAAAGTATGAATACAAAGTGTATCGGAAAGATGCTATCACTAACATTCAAATTAAGCCACACTCAAATCATGATCCAAATATCTTGAACTCTATTTTTAAAGGATTTCTCCACCGAGCTTACTCAATTTGTAGTAAGTCTTACTTGCAAAATGAAATAAATTTTCTAATCGACGTGTTTATTGAAAATGGTTACGATAAAACTCAAATGATGAATATTGCGCATCAGTTTCAACACAAAAGACAAAATAAAATTACAATTCTATCTGAAATCAATAATTATCCTGTAGTTTCCTTACCATGGGTACCCGGTCTCTCGCCAAAACTTAGGAAAATATTCCGAAAAGCTGGTTACAGAGCGGTATTCAAATCAAACCCAAACTTAAGATCCCTATTAACATCAAAGAATAAATCAAAATTACCTAATAACAGTCAACCAGGAACAGATATAATCAAATGCAACTGTTCAAAAGTGTATGTAGGCGAAACAAAAATGAAAGTAAACACAAGAATGCATCAACACCAAAAAAGCATTGATGAAAATAAGCAGCATCAATCTGCATTAGCTCTGCATAAAACATTTTGCAAAAAAGAAATTATTTGGGAACAAACAAAAACATTGAAAGTAGAAAATAAAAAATTTGAAAGAAAAGTTAGGGAAGCCCTAGAAATACAAAAAAACATGTGTTCTGCAAAAAATGGCGGGATTAATCTCGATAAGGGTCAATACGTAAAAACTAAGTTTTGGACGCCATTTTTTAAATTTCAGCGAAAAAGAAGCCATTCAACCGCTGACGTCAAAAGCAAAGTTTTAATTTAAATTATAACGGTTTACCAATTACTGTAACATTTAACAAGCTGAAGAAGCTGAATCTAAAATCCAGCGAAAATTTCTATAATAATAAAAAATTATAAGTGTTGAGAGAAATCGTATTTTTGATGTTTTAAAATAATATATAAATATACTCTCACACAAGATGTTATCCTTTAAATCATATATATATATATATATATATATATATATATATATATATATATATATATATATATATATATATATATATATATATATATATATATATATATATATATATTGTATTACTAAAAAAAGAATAGCTGTCTAAACTTGCAAAAGGGCTCTTAAGATTACAATGAGCGTAAAAAAAACCCAGGACTTTTGTTTTAAATTACGCTGACCACTTTTGGTACCAACATCTTTTCCTTCCCCCTTCCCTCTTCACTGAAAAGTTATAAATCCGTCCGTGAGTTTAACCCATATTCTACTAATTAAATAGGTTTTAACTTTTGTCTAAAATACTTCTATATACTCAAAACAAAGTGTTTTGTTTTAGCTTTCTACCAAACTTTAAGAAACAATTCATTAATTTAAAACACGCTCTTAACTGTTGAACGGTTTAATCTTCAATTGAAACAGTGCAATAAAAACCTAAATACTAT